GAAGGACACACAGGACTGCACATGATGTAAATGCAGAATTCTTGGCATTCTTGTACATGGTCCTGATGCGGTGCCACTGTACCTGAAGCAGATAATCAGAACTCAGGTGCTGAGGGCAGAGGTAGAGTGGAAGACCACCAGGCCAAGTGAGAAACAGAGAAGGGCTCATCTCTGCCCCTGCTGCTCCCCTTGTCGTGCAGTCATGAAAATAGCTCGGCAGCAGGGCACTGCTCAGTGCCTGCCCCGATGATGGGTGGTACACCATGTTCCTTAAGCTATGGGCCCTTCCTACAGGATGACCTCCACCTGGGTGGGCCCTGACTGAGGTCAGCATGAGGAGAGTGGCCTGGGGTGTAACCTCTGGATTCCCTCTGTGAGATACAAGAAACAAAAGGCCTGTGAGTTCTGTGGAAGTTTGGGGTTCAGTTGTTCAATCATTATTTATGAATTGTGCAGTCAGCATCCAAACCCTGCCAGTAAAGAACATGACAGGGCTCATGACTGTTTGTCCCACGGCCTGACTCTTCTGTGAGAGTGGACAAGGAGGAGAGGGCAACTGAGAAGTGGTTACAGGTGTGGTGGTGCTGTCTTGCCTGGGAACAGTGCCTTTGGAGACTCCTGTGGCATCTTTGTAGGATCCAGATTAACCATTTATGGAAGGTGAATGGACTGGAGCAGGTACCATAGTTCTGGTGGATTTTTGAATGAGCCCCAGTGGTGTAGAGGTTACCCACTGGACTGCAATCCACATGGTAATAGGCAGTCAGCAACCACCAGCAGCCTTGGCAGAAGAAAGAATGGGCTTTCTGCTTCCATAAACAGTCACATTCTTGTGAACCCACAGGGGTCACTATGAGTCTGAGTCGGCATTGACTCAATGACAATGAGCTTGTTTATTTGGTTTTTGGATTGCAAAAGGCTTTCACAAAACCCATTGCCATTGAGTTGATTCGGGCTCATAGTGATCCCATAGGGCCAAGTATCATTTCCCCATAGGGTTTCTTTATTTTTCTTGCTTAGATCTGCTGGTGGGCTCAAACTGCCAACCTTTTCCTTCGCAGCCAAGTGTTAAATTACTGTGAAACCAGAACTCCGCCACCCTCATACCCACTCCGTTAAATCAGGGCATAACCGTGGGAGGTCCGGACAGCTTGACAGCTTTGATGTCCGCAGCATGACTGGAGGCTGCTGTGGTGTACTGGGATAGTGGTACTATGCATGCTCAGGCCCCAACTCAGCAGAGCTCCACTGCAGACTTCCTGATGCTTTATGGTTTTTGCCGTAGGTCACATGTATCGATCAACAAGTGACGGAGCCCAGTTCTGGAGACCCAAATATCACAACTGAGTTCAGCACACAAGGTAATCTTTCCTCTTTCAGTATTAGAAATGCTAATTTCTTATACTTTAAGGAGATAGGATTTGCTACAACCTTCCATTCAGTGCCATATAAATTCTCCATATTTCTTCCTTAGCCCACCTCCCTCAATATACCTAGGAAACTTCACACATTTTCATGTGAAGGGTATGGTTTTGAAAAAAGCACTACTCGAACTGGGGACCTACAGCTCCATTCATGACTCTTTGCGGAGCAAAAATAGTAGCCTTTGTCAGCTCAGCTCCTTCCACAGAAGGAGAGAGGGCTAGGTGAGAATTAAGTACCTCTGCCTGCTTCCTGGAGGGCATGGAAGAACGATTGTGAAATGACAGATCCCAAACCTAGTCCCTGGTCCAAAGGGAGTGAAGTCCTAGTTCAAGGTAGGAGCAGGAAGTGAAGCTGGGGATTTTCAAGGAGTGTGGAAGGACTGGGATTTTCCTTCTTGAGGTTCCCAAATGAGCACATGGGGTGGGTTTATTGAGAAAACAAAGTTAGATAACTTCTTAGAGAACTATGGGTCCTGAAAAGGAACACAGGAACACCAGAGCTTGCTGCCCCTGCCCCTTCCTTCTACTCACAGTTAACATCTAGGGCGGCGGTTCTCAACCTGTGGGTCATGACCCCTTTGGGATTGAATGACCCTTTCACAGGGTCGCCGGATTCATAACAGTAGCAAAATTACAGTTATGCAGTAGCAACTAAAATAATTTTGTGGTTGGTGGGGAGGTCACCACAACACGAGGAACTGTGTTAGAGTCGTGGCATTAGGAAGGTTGAGAACCACTGATCTAGGAGATATGAAAGATAAAGCATACTTCTGGAAGATTTGCTTTGGCTACAGAAGCTCAAACCCTAGCAGTTGTAGGGATTTGGAAGTGATCCCACGCGTCCTTTGGTTTCTGCAAGGGGTGTCAGAAGCTGGGTCCCAGAGGTGATGCCCAGGGACATCCCCAAGCCACAGTGTGCCTCACTTGCTGGGTCACAGGATAACCCTTACTGGCCCACCGCATTCTAGGATTTGGCCTGAGAAAATTCTTGTTTGGGAGACGTGTGCTTGGGAAAGCAGAGACACCTACAGACTGGGGAAGAAAACACTTGCTTTTCCTCTTCTTGTAGATAGAGATGGAGGAATCTGAGCGGTATCATCAGAAACTCCGTAGAGCTTGGTCCTCATCACTGCCTAGGGCCTCAGATCTGGGCTCAAAAATGCTCACTGCCTCCAAGTCAATTCTAACTCAAAGTGATCCCATAGCACAGCAGGGAACTGTCCCTTTGGGTTTCCAAAAATAACTTCGATGGGAGTAGAAAGCTTTGTCTTTCTCTCACAGAGCAGCTGGTGGTTTCAAACTGCTGACCTTTTGGTTAAGAGCCTAACGTATAACCACAATGTGTAACCACTACATCACCAGGGCTCCTCTGAGACCTGGGCAGTTTAACTGTAACTTGGTCTCAGGGACCAGCCTTCACAGGCAGAAGGTCAAGAGCTCACAGGATAGCAAACCAGGCAAATTTAACTGTAAAAAACACACCTTCCACCACTTAATTCCTTTAATGGATATGAGATGTAAATCAAGGCCATTTTCCTGCCAATTGCTATCTAATTGCTCCAGCCTTATTTGTTAATAAAAGGATTTCCCCTCCATTAAATTGCTTGTCTCTTTGTCAAAAATCAGTAGGGTCTATTTCTATATTCTATATTCGTTCCATTGATCTTTTATCTACCCCTCTGCCAATGTCGCAGTCTTAATTGTTGCGATGGTGTAGTTCTTCATATTGGGTAGAGATTATTTTTTGCCATCTTAGAAGCTGTGCCTTTCCACATAAACTGTAGAATCAGTTGGAATCTACAAAAAGACTTTGCTGGGATGTTGATAGAAAGTAGATTAAGCCATGGTATTAAACTAATACCAGCTTAGGGAGAAGTGATATTTGTACTGTATTTATCCTTTACTCCAGGAACATGGCTTGTCCTTCCCTGTATTTGAGTTCCCTTCCACTTCTTTCATCCACACTTTGTAACTTTCAACATCCAGATCCTATAAATGTGTTGTTAAAGGTATGGCTAAGTATTTCATTTTCTTTGTAGTAAATATTGAGAGTTTTAATTTCTACTTCTGCATATTCATTGTTACTATATGAGTGGGCTTCAGAAAAGTTTGTGAGAAATGAGCTTAAAAGATAATAGAAGTTTCCATGAATTTTTGAAGCCACCTCTATGTGACTATGTGATCAAATGTTGATTAATACTTGTGTTTGAAGCTTACTGAACTCACTTATTGATTGTAGAGGTATTCTTGTAGATTCGCCCCCCCCATCTACTTCATTAATTTCCAAAATAGTAATGAAATATAAAAATTAAAAAGCTAAATTTAATTTTTCAAAAAGCTAAATATTAATTGAATGGCTTCTGGAAAAGCGGAAGGTGAACTCCTACCCCCAGTCCTGACTGGTGGATTATAAATTGACCCATTTCTTGGGAAAGCATTTTTAATAAAGAAACATACAATTGTTTACGTCTTTGATGTGGTTATCTCACTTCTAGATGCAGGCTAGGGAGTTAGTGCTAAAGAAGAAACTGTTACACATGAAAATACTTGTTGTTGTATTTTTCTGATAATAAAAATGTGGAAGATTAGTCAAGCCCACTAATAAAAGACAAGGAGAATGTAGTACATATGCAGCTACACGGTGACACATTAATTAGGGAAAATGCTGTGAGCCATTAGGTGAAATCTTAGGAGCCTACTAGGATATGACGACTGTGAAAACATAGACACCCAAATTAATTAATTGAATAAGAAGCGGGGGTTGGGGGTGGTGGAACTACAGGCACCAACCAGAGTGAAAGCACACCAAAGAGTGAGCAGCCAGACTGGGGCCATGAGCCTCTCCAGTAATGTTCTAGCAGTGCTCTATTTCCACTAAGACATATGCATGTGTGCATGTGTGGATGTCCATCTATCTGTCCCCACCCACATACCCTCAAAGCTGACTCACCTGAGTCTCCTCATGATCCCACTTCCCTGAGGAACACAGCCACCTGATTATCACTGGCATTCAGAGAGAATTGGTATCAAGAGGAATTTGTAAGAATGAATACTATTAAAATATTTTAAAGTACTGATATGAAATATGTTAGACATTGACAAAACTATATATTGTGTTTCAGGTGAAATTTTACACAGCTAACTTGGGTTCTCATTTAACAATTTTTATACAGACTTTTCCATGACCTTGGTGCACATTTCTCATAATATGTCAGCAGTCTCATTATTTCTATTCTACTTGTCCTCTGTCCGTCAGTCTAGTTCCCTGCTCTTTTTGTCTCATGTAGTTGATGTATGAACACACACAGTATTACATATGATACTGTTGATTTTATAAACCAATCTATTATTTGATTAAAGGTTGACAATTGGGAGTGGCCTCAGTTCTCATTTCAAATAGTACTTTAGGGTGAGAATTTGGGGGATTTCTCTAGTCTCTATTGATCAGTAAGTCTGGTCCTTTTTAGGAAGTTGAGTTTGCTTTACATTTTTCTTCCTTTCTATGCAGTTTGAGAACTATCAAATTTATCAGCCTTTTCCTTTATGGTTTCTATTATGTTTACAAATATTATGTTTATTATGGTTTCTATTATATTTTTTTCCATTTTAAGAATTGCAAGTTTAATCTTTCTGAAGATTTTTGCCCCCGCACATGATGTGTAAGACAGTGTTTATTTTCCTGTTTTCTATATAGACTGCTAATGTTACCATTCCAGGCATGAGGAGGGTACTGGTGGACAGCAGAAGAAATGATTAAGCAAGAATGTTTAGAATTGACGTGCTTCCAACTGGCTCCAGCCACTTAGTGGTTTTGTGATATTCTTTCCGTAGCCTCTCGCCACCACATTTCCTTGAGTGTGGATTGTATCATTGTCTCAGAGATGGGTGACGAGGGCTAAACTGGATGCTGTCTGTAAAGGCCTTTGGTGTTGGCTCAGGCACACGGAGCAGGGCAAATGGAGAGCAGGGAGACAGAATGGCCATAATCTAAACACAGCACCTCCGGCTGTGGTCTCTCCCACAGATTCCTGCTTAAAACATATGGAAAGAACAGAGCCTAAAGACACCAACCCTGGAGGCACTCAGGCTGCTGGGAGTCTAAAAAAGATATCGCACACACCCTGTATTATCTCCCCCGGCTCTAAGATATCTGATGAGAAAGGGGGAAAAGGAGGAATAAGTGCTCCTTGGGCTTCCCTGTGGATGAAGACTTTCAGGGAATCTCTTTAAAACAAGTTCCAATCAGATCCATGTTAGCTGCAGCCCAGGGGCGCCAGTGCTATCTGTCTGGGGACCCCACTTGGCATGGGAGGAGCGAGGACCAGCCCTGACCAGCATCACAGTCTGAGCATCAGTCCAAAAACCGAAGCAGGTATCACAGTCCCTAAACGGCTTACGAAAGCACATAACGCTGAGCCCAGAGTTCCAGAGCCCATGGGCCTGGGCGGGTTATGAGAGTCTGCAGTTCTAATGTGTTTCAAGTGATACTGGTACTGCTGGTCCAGTGACCATACTGTAAGAACCAAAGCAGGCATCACATCAGCTGGGTTTCTCCCACTCTCTCTCACCAAGGGCTTCAGACCCAGGGTGACACCCTTATGTGGGGCAAGCAGAATCTCTGGTTCCCCAGGACTTGACTGAAATGATGTGGGGTCCGTCAGAGCACACTGCATTTCTCTGAATTGGCCCCACTCACCCACGAAGCATCCTTGTGACCCTGGGGACATCATATATGATGGGGTACCCCCCAAAATGGATTTTTTAAAGTTATATATTTAATTTTTTTACAAAATCGCCTTAGCACCTTCAAAGTACTCTCCATTACACTTAATACATTTGTCAAATGTGCAATTCCATTCCTGGAAACATTTTTCAAACTCCCTGTGTTTGGATGGCTGACAGCACTTCCCTCATTTTTTCCTTCACTTCTTGAACGTCATCAAATCACTGTCCTTTTATGGCCCTCTTCATTCGTAGAAACAAGAAGTCACATGAAGCAAGGTCAGATGAGTAAGTAAGGTGCGTGAGGGAAGAGAGGCATGCTGTTTTTTGCCAAAAACTGGTGTACTGAGAAAGTGGTGGCAAAACCTGTCCCATCTGCCACAAATCAGGCCTTTTTTGTCACACACTGTTATGCAATCTTTTCAGAACCTCTCAATAGAAAGCTTGATTAACCTGACCTGGTGGAAGTCTGACCTGGTGGAACAAACTCCAAATGCATTGTCTCCCTCACATCACAAAACAAATGAAAATCGTCTTGATCTTTGATTTCACTTGAAGAGGTTTTTTTTTGGTGAGGTGAAGATGGCTTCTTCCACTGGTTTGATTGATGTTTGCTTTTGGGGTGCTAAGAATAGCACCATGGCTCATCACCAGTAATGGCCTTGGGAAAAAGTCTGGATTGCTTCGGAGCTGTTTTTCCAAAGCATGGCATGTTCCCACTAGGCACTGTTTTTCCTGAGAACCCGAGGCACAAATTTTGCAGCAACCCTTCTCATTCCCAAATCTTCTGTTAAAATTTGCTGAACTGAGCTCCAAGATAATCCAGAAACTTCCGAATCTCTTCAATGATCAATTGTTGGTCTTCAAACATAAGTGCATGAATTTTGTCAACATTTTCTTCTGTTCAGGAAGTTGACTGACATTCAGAACAAGTTTGTCACATGCACCTTTCACCCCTTTTGAAATGGGAAAATCACTTGTACACTTGAGTTTTTCCCATAGTGCTATCCTTGTAAGCTCTGTTTAACATCATAACAGTTTCTGCGGAATTTTTCCCAAACAAGAAACAAAATTTCACAGCTGCATGCTGTTCTGTTAAATCAGACGACACACACACACAAAAACAAAGTTTGAGTGAAACTGCTTTTACAAAAAAATTCACTGTGGCCAGAGAGAACCTTCCCAGGCAATGCCACTAGGTGCACTAACTCAGAGAGAGTTGCTCTATGCTCATCTAGTGGGGAAATAATGCATACTATGAAAGCTCTGCTCAGCTGAGCTTTTTTCTGGGTTTTTTTTTGGGGGGTACCCCCTCATATTTTTGATATCCACTGAATCCCCAAGGGATGCCCTGAATCAGTATATGAGACTTCTCCACTACAAAAGAAAAAGATGCTGTCTGTTTTGCCTTTTAGTCAGTGAGCCATTCCAGCCATGCTCCTCCTGGGGTGGCTCTTAGAAATATACCCGGTGCCCTACAGCCCTTCGATATATGGACAGATGTTTCTCAGCCTCCATCAGCCTCCATTCCTACACCCCCAAGGTCTCAGATAACCTTCCAGAAAGGAGGGCAGCCACACTCCTAATCTCTGTCTTCTTGCGTTGCAGTGCCATTGGATCGAGAGAACGTCCGTGTTGTGGAGAGAGCTGCTGCCCTAGGCTTGAGCTTTTGTTCCTTGGATGGCCCTGGGGCCTCACATTCCCAACTGTCATCCCAGGTGCCCTGCCACCACTGGAGCCATGTGTCCCTGAAGGAGGGTGCACAGACTCGAGTGGGTCCTCAGCGAATGGCCCACTCTGTTAGTGACCCTGCCACATGCTTGTCTGGAGTAGCAGGTACAGAAGACCTGACCCACTTGCATTATTGCAGGTTCACCAGGCTTTGCCTCAGCACAGCAGGTCTAGTTTCTTATCGTCTGGGAGCCCAGGCTCATCCTGGGACCCTTGCACTTAAGAGAGATTGGGACTATAGTCTTGAGGTCAGACTCCACATCACCACAAGGCACTTAGACACTGAGCCTGGAGTTGGTGGTCAGCCTTTTGCAAGAGGGCAAGGGGAATGAAGGAATCTTGCAGTCCCAGGACTTTCCCAGTGTGGACAGAGCACCCACAAAATACTTAGGTCCTGAGCCTGGGGTAGGTAATCAGCCTTCTGCAAGGGGGTAGGGGGCATAAAGGTTTAGGAAGAGTGCAGTCCCAGGCTTACCCAGTGTGGACAGGTCAGCCAGCACTGTGCATTCATTTTACTTATGCACAGAGCCAGAGTCAAGAACAGAGTAGAGGGCTTTGGGCTTTGGCCATGTCTCATGCGTAAGTGGTAAGAAACAGGTATGTTTTAACTAACCATATGTCAGCCTTGACAGAGCTGCCTGTGTGACCTGATGTTTGAGTGGAGCTCTACCTAACTATTAAATAGACAATTTACTCTGCTCTGTTAGGAATACTTGTTTCTCCTTGTCATTCATTCAGAGAGTTTGGGGAACCTATGCATTTGGGCGAACTCATAGTCCACAAGTGAAACCCGTGCTCTGAAACATGATATTGTAGGGATGAGAATGAAAGAAGGCCTGGTTTGATGATGCTGTGAAAGTAGCTCCCAGCCCTTCTCTGCATCCAACCACACTGGCCTGGGGCATCTTTTTTTTTGGTCAATAGAGATACTGATTTAAAATTCATACATCATATACTTCCATAGTTGTTTTTTATAAAGAGTTGTATATACATTGTCACAATCAGTTCTAGAGTTTCCTCCCCACTCCCATATTCATTATTAAAATAAGTTAGAGAAAAAAATTTCTGTCTTGGGAAAAGTGAGAAATATTTAAACCTAAAGCAATTTCAGGATGAGTCAAGAGGGAAATCAACTCTCCAGGTATTACATTTACTCATAGTCCCATCCACCATAATCAAATTTACAGTAATATCTGTCTGATATTACAGCTGTTTGCAAATAGGCATTATGCAAGTGGATTTTGGGGTCTCACTGTCCCATAGTCTTTTATAAGTTGGGTGTTTACTTTTTAAAGCTCTGACACCGTTCCTTTTATCTTATTTGGGTTGTGTTATCTTTGGATCACACAGACTCATGTGGTGGACTTAATTGATGCCTCACTTATATGGCTGCTTGTTTGGACACAAGCCTTTAAGAACCCAGACACTATTCCAGTTGATAGCTGGGCACCATCTGCTTTCTTCACCACACTTTGGTGTAGCACCCTGATCTTCAGTAATTTCTTCAGGAAGGCGAGTGTACTGAGCAAGGCCACATCATAAAAGCTAACTGTTTTTAGATTGGGCCTCGAATTAAGTGGAAGCCCAGAATCCATCTGCTTGTCCCATGGTTATGTACAACTCTGGGCTACTTTAGGTGTCTTATTATCGTTTTATGGTTTAAAAAATTAAAAAAAACATGACCAGTTATCCCCCTGGGGTATAAGGTAATTCCATTAATAACACCAATGATTTATTCAATGGCATAGAATTTAAGATACTGTTGAGGAATAGAGGTTTTGCAATTATAGTCCATAATCCATGAGTTGTTGCTTTCTACAGAGTGGATTCTTAAATGGTTGAATTCTGTTTATGTTGACCATGAGGGTTGATGCTAGGGGAGATTTTCTTATAAACTTCCTTGCAAGGACAGATCCTTGCCCATACTATTAGTACATGTCATATCAATGCCAGGAGGACATCAAGATAGTAAATATATGGTGGCCCTGGGTCCTCTTTCAATGGACACCTACGAAGTCAGGGATCCTAACCAAGGCCAAGGACTTCCGATTCCAAAGTCTTGGTGTGGTCATCATTTGTTTCTTCTCTCATCAGAGACTTTCAGTTTTAAGTCCAAGGGCTATGGGTCATATTGAGGTAGACCCCATTTGTTCAATGTAGTTTCCACATCAAGCCCTTCTGGTGTGGGCCATGGGGAAGATGCCATGTTCCATGTACAGCTAGAGTCTAGGGTCACTTTAGTGCATAGTCCTTGGTGTGGGTCACCAAGGTTGGGTAGAAACTAATTCCAAAGTGTCTAACCAGAAACATAATACTGCGTATATTCTCCCCTTGGATTATCTATAATTTTGAGCATTCCTTCCCAAGGTGAGGCTGCCCCTCCCCATTTTCCCCCCAAAGAAGTATAAATGCCTCTTCTGAAATCTAGCTGCTCCCCTCCCCTGGACTTAACTTGACTTTCTGTAAGGTTCCCTCCTCATTCCTGGAGCATGTCTGTTGATTTGTCACGCCTTGTTTCAGTGTTGTATGGCATTAAGTGGATGGTCTTCTGCCTTTTTCTTCCTTCTTGAAGTAGTGACCCCCGATGCTGGGGTCTCCTCTTTCAAGGGGTTTTTCATAAACTGCATGTAAGAGTGATGATGTATGGTTCAAGGCCTGTAATCAGGATTTCTACCCCTTTGTTTGGAATTGGTCTCCAAGATTTGTTTAATTGGCTTTTCTCTTAATAGTAGTGGGCTTATACAGTATTTTTCCTTTTGTAATTGACTAACTTCATTCAGCATAATGTTTTCTAGGCCCTTCTACGTCATGTGGTGTTTCATGCTTTCGTCACTGTGTTTTCAGGGATGCATAGTATTCCATTATGTGTATGTACCATAGTTTCTTTATCCATTCTTCCACGGTTGGGTATTTGGGCTGCTTCCAGCTTCTTGCTATTGTGAACTGTGCTACAGTGAACATGGGGCAGCATACATCCACTCATGCTTTGTCTCTTATTTGGGGGAAGTATATGGCCAATAGCGGTATTTCTGGATCATATGGGATTTCACTTCCCAGTTCTTGTAAGTATTGCCACATTGCTCTTCATAGTGGTTATATGTATATAAAAGCCCAACAACAGTGTATACAAGTTGCAATTTCTCCACAACCTCTTAAACATTTGTTGTTTTTAAAAAAATTGGTCCAGCATTGTTGGTGCAAGGTGGTATCTCATTGTGGTTTTAATTTGCATCTCCCGGATGCCTAGTGATCATGACCATTTTTTCCTGTGTTTTGGTGCGCTGTCATGTTTTTGTTTATTTCTTAACTGGGTCATTTGTTATTTTCTTATTGAGCTATTGTAGAGTTCTATAGATATTGGTAATTAGACCGTTGTCTGTTGTGTCCTTGGTAAAAAAAATCCCAATTAATGGGCTCTTGTTTTACTCTTTTGATGAAGTCTTTGGATGTGCATTAGTGATTTATTTTCAATATGTCCCAGTCATTTGTTTTGTCTTCTGTTGTGTGTGCTTCCTTTATTATACTTGGCAGTCTACGTATGCCTTGCAATAGGGCCCTTAAGTTTGTTTCCGTTTTCTCATTGATGATCCTGATAGCGCTGGAGTTTACATTTAGGACTTTAAACTCCATATGGATATCCAGTTTGTCCAACCCCATTTGTTGAAGAGGTTGTCCCTGTCCCAATTTATAGTTTTTAGTCCTTTGTCAAAGATTGTTTGCTTGTACACTGATGCATTTACATCTGGGTTTTCTGTTCTGATACATTTGTCTATGTGTCTCTCGTTGTACCAGTACCAGGTTGTTTGGCCTACTGTGGCTGTGCAGTAGGGTTTTAGAACATGTAGCCTGAGGCTTGCTACTTGGTTCTTTTTAATGAGTTCCTTGCTTATCTTAGGTCTTTTGCCTTCCCATATATAATTGGTAATTCATTTTTCCATTGTTTTAAAGACTGTGTTTGGGATTTAAATTTTATTGCCTTGTATCTGTAGATTGCTTTAGGTGGTATTAACATTTTCACAATTTTAGTATGCCTATCCACAAGCATGAGATTTTCTTCCATTTATGTAGATCTTTTTTTATTTCTATTATAGTAATGTTCTGTAGTTTTCTCTGTATAGGTCTTTGTTTCTTTAGGTAGGTTTATTCTTTTTCATAGCTCTCTTTGCTGGCATACAGGAAGCCAATTGATTGCTGGTTGTTAATTTTGTATCCCACTACTTTGCAGAAATCCTTGATTGTTGCCAGTGGGCGTTTTGTGGTCACTTTAAGATTTTCTATGTAAAGGGTAGTATCATCTGCAGAATGAGAGTGTCACTTCTTTGCCTATTTAAATTCTCTTGATGTCTTTGTGTTGTCCACTGGTTGTCGCTAACACCTCTAGTCTGATGTTGAGTAGGAGTCATGCTGGGGGTCATCCTTTTCTGGTCTCCATTTTCAGGGAAAGTGTTTCTAGTTTTCCCCCATGGAGTGTGATATTGACTGTTAGTTTTTCATATATGGCTTTTTATGTTGAGAAATTCCCTTTCTATTCCTCTTTTGCTGAGTTTTTTTAATAAAAAAAATGATCTTGGATATTGTCAAATGCCTTTTCTGCAGCAATTGATATGATCATGTGGCTTTTGTTCGTTGCCTTACTTATGTGGTAGGTTATATTGATTGTTTTTCAAATATTGAACCATCCTTGCTTCCCTGGAATGAATCCCTTCTGGTCATGTTAAATTATTCCCTGGATGTGAGGTTGGATTCTATTGACCAGAATTTTGTTGTGGATTTTTGCGCCTATATTCATGAGGAATATTGGTCTATAACTTTCTAGCTTTGAGTGGTCTTTACCTGCTTTGGAATCAGAGTTATGCTCCCTTTATAGAATGAGTTTGGGAATTTGTTGCCTTTTTCTATATTCTCGAGTAGTATGTAGAGTATTGATGACAGATCTTCTCTGAACACTTGGTAGAATTCCCCTGTGAAGACATTTGATCCTAGACTTTTCTTGATTGGAAATATCTTAATGACCTGCTCTATGTCTTCTTTTGTTATGAGTCTCTTGACTTTCTCAACGTCTGCTTCCATTAATTTGAGTGGATGAGGTATTTCTAGGTATCTGTCCATTTCATCAAAGTTATCAAGTTTCTTTTAATGCAGTTTTTCAGATTCATATGTAATTATTCTTTTTATTTTGTTTGAATCTATTGTGATGTCACCCTTTGCATTTCTTTTTCTGGGTATTTGCTTCTTTTCTCTGCCTATTTTGTTAATCCTCTCAAAGAACCAACTTCTTGTCATTTGATTTGTTTCCATTTTTTTTTCTCTCCATATCTTTTATTTCTGCTCTGGTCCTTAGTATCTATTTTCTTCTTTAACTGGAAGGTTTGTATTCTCGTCTTTGTTCCAGTTTTCAAATGTATTGTGTTAGGATGTTGATTTTGGATTTCTCCTCTTTTTTTAATATGTGTGTTGATTGCTATAAATTGGCCTCTCATTACAGCTTTTGCTGTGTTCCAAAGGTTTGGGACATTGTTCTTGTTTGTCTCAAGGAATTTTTTATGTCCTCCCTTATTTGCTTTATTACCCAATCATTGTTAAGTAGTATGTTATTCGTTCTCCATGTATTTGTCTTGTTGTTTCTGTTCATTTAATTGTTGATTTCTAGTTTTATAGCATTTGGATTTGAGAAGATAGGTAATAGTATCTCATTAAGAAAAAATGTTTTAGACATGCTTTGTGGCCTGGTATGTGATCTGTTCTTGAGAATACTCCATGTGCCTTGGAGCAGAATGTATACTGAATTTTTGTTGGCTGAAGGGTTCCATATATGTCTCTGAGGGCGAGTTTGCTACTTGTGTTCTTAAGCTCTTTGTGTCTTTCTTGAGTTTCTCCCTTAAGGTCCTGTCTTTCCTCGAGAGCGGCATATTGAAGTCCCCTGTAGTTCTTGTCGAAGTGTCTATATCCTTTATCAGCTCTGTGAGGATTTGGTGTACTTTTGATGGTTGGGTGCACATATGTATATATTGGTAATGTCTTCTTGGGCTATTGTTCTCTTGATCATTATGTAGTGTTCATTCTTGTCTCATTATGTTATATGACTTGAAGTCTTTTTTTCTCAGAGATTAATATTGTTACACCTACGTTATTTTAGTTGTTCTTTGCTTGGTATGCATTTTCCCAGTCACTTATTTTTAGTCTTTTCATGTCTGATCTTCTGAGGTGTGTTTCTAGCAGGCAGCATAGTGATAGGTTTTGTTTTCTGATACATTCTGCTACTGTCTGTCACTTTAGTGGTGCATTTAGCCCATTGACAGTCAGTGAGATTATTGATATGTATGGATTTGTTACCGTCATTTTAATTTGTGTATGTTATGTGTGAGTATGTATGTGTGGTGTGATAAGTTTATTTTTTCTTCCTGTATTTCTTCATTGTTTTGGATTCTCTCTGCTCGATTTTATGAGGAATTGTCTTGTGTATGGCTTTCAGGTTTGTGTGCTATTGTTGTTGGGTTTTTTTTACCATAGAACTTCATTAAGATTTTTATGTTTGTTTTTTGTTTTGCTTTTGTAGTGGTGGTCTTGTTTTTGTGGATTTCTTTAATTTCTCATTGTCTGGAAATACTTTTATTTCTCCATCATATTGAGTGACATTTTTGCTAGCTACAAGATTCTCCGCTGACAGTTTTTTGTTTTTTCTTTTTCTTCAGGATTCTATATATATCACTCCATTGTCTTCTTGCCTGCCTGGAAATGATTTTGGAAATTGGAAATGATTTTAATTGCTGTCCCTTTGTATATATTGTTCTTTTTTTCCCTAGCTGCTCTTAGAATTTTTTCCTTATCGTTGATGTTAGACATCTTGACTACAATGTGCTGAGGGGTTTCCCTTTGGGGATCTCTCATGATGGGGGTTGTTCGGGTTTCCTGAATAGATATCTTTTCATCATCTAGGCAATGAGGAAAGTTTTCTAGCAGGAGTTCTGGGACTATTATGTGTATGGTTTGTTTGTTTATCCTCTTCTAGAATCCCTGGAAGACATAGGCCATTCCTCCTGATTGTGCCCCACGTTGTTCTCTAGCTTTTCTTGGTCTCCTTTGCATTTGTTTGTTCTTCTCTTAGATTGGAGTCTATGATTTGTCTTGAAGCTCACTAATTCGGGTTTCCAGCTCTTCAGTACTATTTCTCTGTTCTTTTATAATGTTGTGTAATTCTCTTTTTATACTGTTCGACTTTATATTTCTGTTTGGAGTTTTTCTTGTAATGTGTGTAGTGAGGTTCCTAGCTTTTCTACTGTTTCACTTTTCTCTCAGACTTTTTCTTCATCTGTTATGTGAGAGCAAACATCATTCTTTTATGTAATTTTTCTGGCAATTCCATAACCTGTTCCAATTGGTAGGTTAAAATAATGGAAATTAGACCAAAATGTGTCTTGTTTTGCAAGGACATAGGAAATGCTGATAATAGTTGAGAGAGAAAAATGTGAGTAGTGTCAGATTTTGATTTTATGAAGAAAGTAAGGAAGAGAAGGATTGATGATGGAAAAAAAGAAAAGTTGAGATACTTATGAAATAAAAGTTTAGGTATTAAAATTAAAGGAGGAAAGAGCAAGAGACAAAAGTATTGAAAAGAAAAAATAACTAGAGTAAGACGGAGAAGAGCTGTTAATGTATATTTGTCTGGGCTTGAAGCTTTGCCCAAGAGCTTTGTCTCTAATGTAAATTAATGATGTGTTGAGAGACTAAATGAAAAGAAAGTAAGTTAAAAACAATAAAGTAAAATGCCATGTATACACGAGTATAAGCCGACCTGAGTATCCGCAGAGGCACCTAATTTTATCACAAAAACTGCATTAAAAAA